TCCTCCTGTAGAACGCTAAGTTAATTAGCCAGGCTGTGAAAGTGTATGTGATACCTGTGTACATTTCCTTTGCCATAATCTGTCATATGGCCCTGACTTATATCAAAAGATAAAAAGTGTGTGTTATCTGCTATTTCAGGATAAATGAGAACAACAGGTGTGTGTGTGGACTGGAGCCTGACACACTGAGCCTGCGTCACCTCTGTCTCTGTCTCTGTCTCTATCTCGCTCTCTACACACCCACCCACCTACACACCCACCCACCTACACACACACACACAAACACACACACACACACACACCCCATTGGTCTTTTGAAAATCTACCCAGAACTGTCCATTTGATTGAACTTGAACAAATCCTTCTAATAGAATAAAATGTGAAACTTCTTTAAGTAAGAGTCACACACCACTGGAAAGAGAAAATATATTCATGAAAAAAATGGTCTTAGATGGGATGTCAGAAGAGTGGTAAAAGTACTAGCTGAGAAAATTGTAAATGTCCTTTAAATAAATCAAACAATATTAAAAACTATTATTATGTCATTAATGCTAACAATTAATATTATTTGCATTTTTAGTGAAACCCTAAGCAAAAAGTAATAATAATAATAATAATAAAACAATAATAATAAATCACCAAACACCAATTTGATTAAAAACCAGCAGAAACATGAACTGATGAGATAATCTCTTTACATATGTGGAATGATTGATATAGATGAAAGAGAGATAAAGAAAACTATCAAGATGGAAAAAGAGAAGAGATTTAAGAATAGACNAAAAAAAAAAAAAAAAAAAAAAAAAAAAAAAAAAAAAACTCAAGGAACGAAACTCCCCAGTGAAAAGAACCTTCTAATCTGCACATGAGGAAAGTTACTTCACTCTGTGTTGCCTGCAGTGAGAATGTGAGAAATTAGAGTCACATAGAATAAAGCAGAACATGAGCCTGAGGGGCATCTGGAGTCAGCAGAGCAAAGGAAACCTAAGATCCTGAGAGGAGCCCCCCATCCCCTCTCTGCACCTGCTCCATGGGGCACAGGAGCTGGGTGGGCCTTGAGCGCCCCCTGCAGCCCAGACCTCTCCTGTATCCTGCAGGGAGGTTTGTGTCTGGGCTCACACTGACTTCCTGTCACTGTGTCTCTCGCACAGTAATACACGCCTGTGTCCTCATCTGTCACAGAGCTCAGCTGCAGGAAAAACTGGTTCTTGGATGTGTCCCTGGTGATGGAGGTGTGGCTTTTGAGGGATGAGTTATAAGCTGTACCACCACTACTACGGATTGCTGCTATCCACTCCAGCCCCTTCCCTGAGAGCTGGCCGATCCAGCTCCAGTCATAACTACTGGTTGTGATGGAGTCACCAGAGACTGTGCAGGTGAGGGACAGGGTCTACTAGGGATTCACCAGTCCTGGGCCCGACTCCTGCAGCTGCACCTCGGACAGGACACCTGGAGACAAGGAGAGTCAGAGCCTGTCAGTCACACACAGTCACAAACATCCCAGAATCCATGTGTGACATCTGAGACACTCACGTTGGGAAGCTGTCACCAGGCAAAGGAGAAGAGCCCACAGTCTCATCTTCTATTAGATCTCAACTCTGCCTTCCCCAGAGACCTGAGCCCTGTCTGAGGACAGACCTGTGAGCTTCCACCGCCCCAGCATCCACATTTATCTTAGAGCTAGAAAGAAAATTTGCATGTGGGAGAGCTCTGTCCTTATAAGTTCTGAGGAACTGAGGTGGGAATCATTGTAATTTTTGAAATGCTTATATGGTTTTTTTTGTAATTATTTGACATGTATTTATGGTATGGGAGGGAACATTTTGAGCTACATGGCATAATGTGGCCCCAGCTTTCTGAGCCCAGATCTACCTTCCTTCAACCCCTGTGTTCTGTGCTGACTTGGACCCAGCCCAACTCTCCCACAGAAACTCAGGCTCTGGGTCTTGCTTCTGCAGTTCTGATCCCAGCACATCCCCTGCTTTCTTTCCCTGGACACTCTCCTGGGATGTGGGTCTCATCACACCTGAGAGTTGTTACTTGTTACATTGTTGCTGTTACATGAGTTCCAGGCCTGCCTTGTGTTTTTCATCCTGCCATACAAGACACAGCACATCAGAACCACAGAGACTCTGCAGTAAATAATGCCCAGTGTGTTACTGAGGACGCTGATTCTCAATATCTGGGAAAGATAAAAATCTTAAATTCTTCCATTCCATGGTCATTCCTGTCCATCTAAAGTGTACAAATGTTCAACTTAAATTCACTTCTCACTCATATTTTATAGATTTTATTCCTTCATTTAATCCACCAATCTTATCAGATATCAAAAACTAAAATCGATTACAATGGTTAACATGAAAGCAGTAATAACATCCTATTGCTAAACTTTAAAAGCAAATTTTCCCTTGATGTCCACCTGACTGTGGGCATGAGAGCCAGTCCATGTCTGTGGGCATCACTCTCTGGATGACTGCCCACCACAGAGAAAGAGGCCAGGGATAGGGTTGGATGCTGTGATTTGTCTGCCCCTGTCAGCACCTTGTCAGTCCCAAGGACAGCTCCATGTCCAGGAGGGACAGCCCTTCAAGAGTCCTGAATGAATGACAAGACAGGAGCTGCTGATGAGCAATTTGGGGATGATTCTTCAGGTCATGTTTACTCAGACACTGTGTAGGAGTTTTATCAAAATGTTAAAAGACCTGGTAAAAAGGTGACGATAAACAAAGACTCTGAAGTGATAAAGCAGGTATTAGAACCAGAATAAGATATGATACAGATTTTGGATTTATCAGAGAGGAGATTTAAAGTAACTCTGTGTATGTGCATCTATGTTTCAGTTTTTTTTTTTTTAAAATTCAGTTGAATCTACAGAGTCCTAGTGGCCCACCTCTGTTTGTCCAGGAGAACTTGTCAGGATGCTCTGCCTCATGGAGAAACAGCCCAGCATCTCAGTGGAATAAGGTACAAGAACAGAGATCTACATCTTGCTCATTTCTATTCTAACATACTCAGGAGGGAAGTTGTGGATAGAAGAGGTGACTGATTCATAACGTCAGTCAGGAACACAGACTCTACTGGTGTGAGTCTCCAAATCTATACCTTGAGGACAGACATTTA